TACCTTGCCTACCATCGCGGACACTCTGAATGGACCGATGTATCGGGGCCCCAGCTTGTCCATCTTCCTGAACCGGATCACTCCTTTCCAAGGAGACACCTTCAAGAGCACAAAATCTCCAACCTGAAACTCGATCTCGGATCGTCGCCTATCCGCGTAACTCTTCTGGCGACTCTGAGCTGTCAACAATCTCTGTCTAACCTTCTGTATCTGCTTTGTCATCTGAAGTATTAACTTAGTGCTACCCAACACTCGTTGGTCGACCTCTCCCCAGCAGATGGGAGTCCGACACCTCCGCCCATACAATAACTCAAAGGGAGGCATACCGATACTCGAATGGTGGCTGTTGTTATAAGAAAACTCAGCCAAAGGCAGATACGTGTCCCAACTCCCTCCGAAGTCCAACACACATGCCCGAAGCATGTCCTCGAGCGTCTGAATCATCCGATCACTCTGTCCGTCCATCTATGGGTGGTAAGCAGTACTGAAATGCAGTCTAGTGCCCAACTCCTCATGGAACTTCTTCCAGAACCTGGAAGTGAAACGCACATCTCGATCTGACACAATCGAGATTGGTACACCATGCCGCGATAACACCTCCCTCACATACACCTCTGCCAGCCTCTTTGCGGAAGAGCTCTCACAAATAGCAAGAAAATGAGCGCTCTTCGTCAGCCGCTTGACACTTACGTTTCTAGGCACAGAAAATGTAAGCCAATATGTCAGAGGATTCTGTGAAAGTATGATGAAAAACAAGAGCTTATATTGTAACCCTCTTCTGAAGAGTAAGAGCTGTTTATATATTAAACAAGATTAAGGTTTCATCAGGGTTGGACCGTTATTAGTTGCTTTGGAAGCAAGTAATGTTAATCCGGACCCTAGCCAGGGGCTCTGCCGCTTGGACCCCGCTAGGGGCGCTGCCCCCGAACCCCCGACTAGTCGTCGAACCAGCTTTTAATTCGATCTTATACATACGTGCACTCCGCACAACCATGTACATATATTAGAATACAAATTATGAAGTCCCTTAGCTCACATATTAGTTCCAGTTACTTAAAATGACATGGTGACACTAAAATCACCAACAGATATAAGGCTTCCGCACACATATATTGTCTTCATTTTGCTTAGAGAAATTTCAGTATTTTGCAATATGAAATAATATACACAACACGAATATATAATTAAACCCAAACAAAATAATAGATTTCAAAACTTTGTGGCTAGTTAGAAATTTCGAAGATGTTATTGGTCAGAAAAAACATGTTTAAACTCACAATAGAGTTCAAAGTTGCATATTTTTCTGATTTTTTTTTTGAGCACATTCTATGTTAGGGCATCCATAATATATTGAACTCTGTAGAGTTCAATAGAATGCCACATCATCATTCACTATTTCATACAGCTCTATTCATTTTTATTCTACGATGCATTAAACTCTACAAGTTCAATGGAATATATCAAAAGAATTTTTATTTAAAGATTTAAATACTTTCCTTTTTCCCATTGATGAGTTCAATGGTCATTGAACTCCAAATCCATTGAATGCCAAGGTGATATTTCACAATAGTGAAGTTGTATCCATTGAATAACAAGTAGACATGACACCTCATTTAACTTTTCCATTAAACTCCCCATTGTGGATGCTCTTAAAAAAACATATTTAAAACTCATAATTGAGTTACTAGTTTACAAGATTATTGTCATTTATGATTGAAGATAAGTATTAGACTTATTTATGTGAATATCCCAAATACAACATTTATTTTTTATTCTTTTAATAATAAATTAGCCTCAAAAGGTAATCATTTTGTATGATGAATAATCATAGATTTTTGCTCGCTATAAAGTTTGACTGAACTTCCAACCGATGGGCCCTCAACCTCCTATGCACAGAATGTGATTTGTTAGGCATCAACATATGTAAACTTCAAGATAATTAACGATACAATTGATGTCCATCTTTTTTGTTAATGTCAAAATGAATTATATTTTCATGTTTGTAAAGAAACTTGAATTTATAGTTTTTGGAGAACTAAAAGTTGGTGCAATCGACCAAAAAGCTTTTCATTATGTCGATATTTGTTGATGACCATTCATTGGTGTTCAATAACTTCATCCTTAAACATGGCATTAGTAACCAAACCCTCTAATTTGAAGGCCTGCGTTTCAAATCGTTTAGTTGGATTACGTGTTAAGATTGTGAACGATAATATATAGTATTTGAGTTGAAATTAATCACTGTTTAACAAATTAACAAAACTGAATAAGTTTTTTACTTTTTCATTTGATTTTACTAATAAAAAAAGATCGTGCAATCTACTATTTCCATTATAGAAAAAGTAAAGAAACAAGGGAGGCTGCAAAAAGTAAAGAAAAGGCACAAAGAAAAAAGTAAATACCATTTTTGGACATCGACCGGTCTAACGACCAAGACAGAAAAGATAAAATAATAATAATAATAATAATAATAATAATAATAATAATAATAATAATAATAATAATAATCGTATAACTTAATTTCTTCTTACATCCGTTATGTTTCAAATATCTTACGCCAAACCAAGTTTAAATTGACCATCTTAATTTATTAAATCGCTTAAATTCTAAAAAATAATCCATAGTTGGTCTTTATATAAATCAAGATAATTAACGTATATAAATGGAAATCGATATATGATACCCGTATAACTATAGGAACACTTAACAGTTAGACGGTGTTTATTTTTTTATAAAAGTTTTTCTTGATCTGTTATGTCTGTTATTGGTGTGTCGTGTAGATGGCGCATAGACATTTTGTTAGAAATTGGGTAGGGCTTATAGGGACACTTACAAACATATGCACAAAAAAACGAAAGCCAAATTGCTAGAAGATTAAGAGTTCGTATGAAGAATACGAGAGCTAAAAGGTGATTATTCTCCACAAAAGGAGAGTCGTTTATATAGAAAACGATAAGTAGGGTTTTGTTTTAGGGTTGACCGTCATGAGTTGCTTTGGAAACAAATAAAGGGAATCTGGAATTAATGAGGAAATCAGTGGTTTTCAAAACTGATGAACTTAGTCAGTGTTTCCATAATCACCTTCAAAAATTTGATTTTTCCACTATGCACCCACTTGTAAAAAATTTAAAAAACATGACCTGACTTGCTCCAATAACCCTCATAATTTTGAATAATCGAATTCATACTTGTATCCACCGAATCAACAAGTATTCGACCCATTAACTAGACCATTTTTCAATATTACAATTTCACAATTTTGATGTGTGCCACAAACTAATATTTATCAAAAAATATAAAATATTTACTTAAACAATATATACATTATTTAATACTCAATATCCAATAAAATAAGAATTACATTTTACTTGGGCATAAAGTTGCAGACTTTAGTGATATATATATATATATATATATATATATATATATATATATATATATATATATATATATATATATATATATATATATATATATATATATATATATATATATATATATATATATATATATATATAGATGGTAAACAAGTAAACAAATCATAAAATAAAATCCAAACACATAAAAATTTTAAGGTTTGGAGCGAATAGCTATATTTTTTTTTTTTTTTGTGCCGGAAAGAATCAAAATCCAAACAAAATGATTTGGTTCGATTTGATTTGGTTAGTGAGACCTACAACCCACATACACCTAAAGGCTAAAGCCACTACTTTGAAAGGTCCGTTGGGCCAACGCCAATGATTGACATGGCCTGATTTGCACGGCTTATACGGCTAAACAACCCCATTCGATTTTTGTCATATCCTTTAACGACTTCGCATAAAACTAAAACATTGGACCATTGGAGACTTAGATATCAGTACTCAGTCACAAAAAGAAAAGGGAAAAGGAGAGTAACAAACTATCGATATTGTTTATATTTTGTCATTTTTTTTGTACTATATTTACCATATAATTACCATTGAACTTGCTTTTGATGCTCACAAAAACCATTGCAACTTACTGTTGAAGGTTTACGGTAACTTTATCTGCTCCGGCGGCTCTTTGGACATCTTCTCCGGCAAGCCTCCGACAAACATGAATTTTCCGTCTATTTCAAACCCACAAAAACTATTGAAACCTTGAAATGAGTTCGATTTTTCAGATCTACAATTTTTTCCTCTTCGAATTCATGTTCATCAGACTATCTATTTTGTTATGGAAAATAGAAAGGGGAAGATGAAGGTTCATCCATACAAGAAATCGCTCAGAAATCATTTCGTGAAATCGTTCAGAAATCATTCAACTTCGAGTTCAAGTTCATCAGAAAAATTTGTAGATCCGGAAAATAGAAAGTGGAAGAAGGTTCATCCATGGAATAAATCATTTATCTTTTCATCAAAAATCGTTCAACTTCGAGTTCAAGTTCATCTCATTCGGCTTTGATTTCCATTGTAGTTTCAATTTTTTTTTTTTTTTTAAGTTTTGATTTCAGGTTGCACTCCATGAATACAAACCAAAGGTTTCTTGAATCGATCCATGGAAATTTCAAGTTCAAGTTCTAGGGTTTTATTCCCAAGAACAAGAACAAAGTAAGAACACATACATTTCCAGATTTTCAATCTGGAACCTCACTTATTTCTTGTATATTTGCAGATTCAGATTTTTTCAAGGGAACCCCACTGATTTCTAGTATGTTTGCAGATTCATACATTCATAAGGTTCATATTTTTAAGGATTCAGATTTTTGCAAGTGTTTCAATTTTCTTGTATTATATTTTTTTCAGATTCACATTCATAGATGCTCAGATGTGAAAAACAAGTTTAAGTAATTCATAGTGTCCATCACTTCACCAGAAAAATCATCACATTCAGCAAAAAATTCATAATTTTGCCGGCAAAATTCATATATTGGCCAGAAAATTATTTAAGCTGACTGGCTAAACCTATAACAGCCGGTCATAATAACATCAAAAACAAATTTGAAGGTAATTAGAGTACCCAAAAAAAAAAAACCAAATGTGACCAAAACCAATAGTTGGTTACCCTCGAAAATAGCATGCTTCCGTTTTAAAGGCAACTATTCTTCAAAATTACTTGGTTTCTTCAACAACTTTTTATCTAAAGATGCATACACATCATACCCACCAAATAAAAATTTGAAAAAAAAAAACCAAACATTACTACACAGGAATGAAAAACCATAATCACCTTTAAAACCACCAAAGCAATGAATAAATATATGAAATCTAAACACAACCAAGATGAACACTTTCTTCGCCAGAAAACAGAAGACTCAATACTTGACAATCAATTACCATCCATGTTTAACATGGGTAAACAGAAAATTTTGGTAAACTAAACATCAAACATTCATGGAATTTAATTATTTTAATACCCACCAAAACAAAACAAAAACCCTTCCAACTCATAGAGAAGACTTAACTTGTTACCATTCATTCATTCATTCAGGGCTTAAGAGCCAACGCAAGACCAAACTTTGCAGTCTTGTCAACAGCTTTCGTGTCAACTTCACCTGAAATGGTAAATAGAGACTTTGGACGCCACTCATGCTGAATCAACGCACTTGCTTTCCCAAAGTTGTTCACCCGAGCTTTGACCGTGGTCAATGGGTCCAAAGCATGCTGGCTACCAATTGTGATCGTGTTTTCATTGCTAGAAAAGCTGTGGTTGACTTCCGCACCTACAGCTGTGTTGGTCAACGGCTTAACAATGTGGTAGTATGATGCAGTCAGCGTGTCCCCCTTGTCATTCCTGTTACAATAATTAATCAATTAATTAATTGATCACCAAAACAATATTCTTTTAATAAAAACAATATAAAGAACTCACAGGGTCAAAGCAGCAATGAGATCTGCATTAGAGAAGCTAATTCCAGCATTGTATTTGGTGAAATTTCCAGTTTTGGTGTCGAATGAAACATCGGTTCCAATTGAGCTAACATTGGTCCCCACCACACCAGAAAAGTTGACTATTGGGTTTGCGGTCAACCCAACACTTGTGCAGATTCCAGCATAGTCATGTAGGTATTGAAGTTCAAGCTATATAGTATATAAATGAATTACAATTACAACTAATAGTTAATCACAAAACATTTTTAAATTTATTAAATTACTTTTACAGATATAGAATTATAGATTAGATTATTGCTTACCTTGCCAGACCTTTGATCAGGAACTTTGAAGCTGAGTATTGTTTTAAGCCCAGGTGCAGCTTCATCGACAGTGATGGTTGTCGAGAGCTGGTAATGTTGCAGATAATTTAATTATATATATTGAAAAAGAAAGAAAATGTTAAATAAACAAAAAGGATATATATATAAAGGAGTGAGATGTATACATTGGAGTTGGTGTCCACTTTGACATCAGCAGTGATGTTGTTCCTCTTTAATTGTGTATTCACATCAGCGAGGAATATTTCACCTTTTTTCGTTCCAGATGATGTGATTGCCTACATGGTGTGGAAAATGAGAATATAAGTCATGATGTAAATGACGTTAAATGGCATACAAACTATAGCAGCTATCGATGTACAATTTCATTTGTTATCTCAAGTAGTACACTAATCATAACATTCTCAAAGAGTCAATGTTAGATCACCAATTCACAATCATCATTAACAGAAACATTCATATCTGAAGAAAGTCAAACAGGGAGAAGATGGAAGAGACAACAAGATAACTAAAAATTACAAAAAATTTGTATACATGTAATGGACTGCAATCTAGAACTATTGATCCTGAAAATGTGAGATAAACACAACCAATCTCTACTTCTCAAATATGAGAAATAATATAATTAATCATCTCTTACAGAAACATGGACGGTGGATGGATGGCTTCAGATTAAGAATTTAGCACTTGAAAGAGACATAAGCATCAATTACATTCACACAGAGTAGCCTACTGACGTGCCTTTTAACAATGTCGATACAAAATACGATTCAACGGATCTACAAATACAATAACAAATGAAAAAATAACTCACAACTCCAGTAGGCGAATAGGTCGTGATGGTGAACTTCTGGTCCCCCTGGTAATCCCTGTATAAAAGATCTGCATCACACAGCATAACAGATTCAAAATTAACATATTTTGATCCAAAATTCCGACAACAAAACACAAATAAGGAAAAAGGCACCGATACACAAACATTTATCGAATACGGATTACTATATACGTATATTTCTATACACGATTACGCACATATATATCGAACTATACAATCTCAGAAATAAATGACGAGACAAAACGAACCTCTGGCTTTTTTGCCGATTTCGGTGTAGAGTCCTGGACCTTTACCCATGATTTCTGGCTTAAAATGGAGAACCCAAACAAGAAACAGAGTATCAAGCACCGAGAGAGGGAGAGAGAGACGTATAGGGGGCTTGAAGAACACCGGAAAAACAACGCTAAGCTATATAAATTGGGGAAAGACAAAGGTTACGCTTTTTAGACCCAAAACAGCTAAACCTAGTTTAGTGTACAAACTTAAATGCACGAGGTATAAGTAACAACTTTGGTTTTGATAATTTTGGGTTTGGAATAAAGGAAAAGTCGTGGGTTTTCTCTTGAAAGGTGTGATTCTTACGTGCTCTTCGGTCAATTGTAGACCGTTCGATTTGAGAGAGCGGTGCTTAGGTAATTTTTTGGCCGTAGATCGGAAGTGGCCTAGGGAATAGATTTATATTTTATATCGATGGCGATGAGGACATTTTAGGAAGTTCCTTAAGTTACACGTGGATTTATATTTTAATTGGGCGAGGCATCGCCTTTATTTTTTTTCTTTGGGCCAAAAGGCAAAAAGCAAGAGAAAGCCTCATGAATTGATGATACTAATTTATTTCCTTTACAATTTAAACAACTAAGGAAAGGTCCTGTCATCGAAGTATTTCAAGAGCTATATTAAAAAATATATAAAATATACTTAATTATTTTACCAATATACACAATATATATGCTTGATAAAATAACTCAAAAAGTAGTAAAAATAAAATTGGACAAACAACCTTTTATGTCACCGACATGGGGCCCAATTTGGGGTGTGGCCAAAGAGTAGTAGAAAGGAGAGGCTTATGTGAGGATAGACAGTGTAAGGCATGGAAGTATTTTCTTTTACATATTTCGGATAGAGATGCACATGAAATTTAAACATCAACAACAGACGATATACAAATCTCATATGAATGGAGCAAAAAAATAAAAAATATACAGTCATACATACAACAGAATATAGAAAATGTTAACCTCAAGATGACGTGTGGCTTTCTTCACCAAAACAATGGAGAGTAAAATGGGGACAATAATGTCTAAAGTAGAAAAAAATAATAAGTAGATAAATATTATATTTAGAACCTTATATTAGTAACTAATTATCTATTGTTATCAATGGCGGAGCCAGGGTCAAAGTAAAGAGGCATCCCAAATTTTTTTCAGGTGGCCTAATTTTTTTTTCCGGGGTACTTGGGTTTCCCCGGTTCGGTTTCGGTTTTAAACCCAAATCATAATTGAATCCTTAGCTAACTTTAAGTCTTGTTATATAAACATGAATTTGAAGTATCTTTTGATACTTGAATGGATGCGAGAATCAAAGTAGATATCAAATGAAGTAGGAGGATATCAGGTTAATATAATAGATGAAAATGTCTGAAATTACATGTGTTTGACGATGTGAGATAAAATAGTTGGGAAAATAAAAATAAAAGGTAAACAAAGAACAAGTGAGGAGGGAGATTTGATCCTAAGAACTCTGCTTAAATATATTAGCGCCTCATCGAACAAACCACATGTTTGTTTGTATTTACAGGTGAAGGAAAATGTATATATACAATATATAAAACGAAATTTTTCTAGAAAAATTACACTATCGAAAAATTTTGAGGGGTATCTCGGGCTACCTCAGGCACTACATTAGATCCGCCCATGATTGTTATTTATAAAGTCTGTTACCATAAGGTTGGTGGGAGTGAGGAAGAGTTTACCACGTGTCACCTCAGTAAAATTATTCCCCCCCCCCCCTCATGAGAGAGAGAGGTTGGCTCTAGTTGTACACCAGGCGTAGTGTTTGCCACAACCACCGTGATCAAAATTTGATATTTCTAATCATTGTAATTGTAATGTAACACGCATTATTAGTTTAAATTTATCATTAAAGTATTTAAATTCTTAAAGTATTAAAATTATTAGTTTAAATTTATCATTAAAGTATTTAAATTCTTAAAGTATTGAAATATAAATTATTTAATATATAACAAGACCCATGTATTATATGGGTTAATTTAGAAAAAAAAAAGTTAGATATAAAAATCTAAATATTTAAGAAATTTAAATTTATAAGAAAATAAGAAAAATAATGAATTATTATAATTGAAATGTTTTTTTTATATTTTAAATTTAAACAAATAATTTAAATAAATAAAGAAATAAATTAATGAGTTTTAATTTGATAATTTTGAAATTAGAAGGTAAGCCCATTAATGAAATTGATATTCATTTATTATTATATTTATTATAATTATTACATTAAAATATTATGTAAAATTTAATAAAATAACAAAACCTATAAAATGACACGTGGAAAAAAATTAACTCAAAATAACCAAAAAATAACATTTGACAAATTGAATGAGAATGTGACATGTGACAAAAAAAAAACATTCATTTATTAGAATAAATTACGGTAATTTGATTTGGTTTGGTCCAAACATCATGATGCCATAATTCAAACCAAATACCAAATTCATAACTCAGTTTTGCTGAAACCAAATTAAAATTTAGTTAGGCTCGAAATCTGTTTCGATTTAGTTTAATTATCGATTATTTCTATTCTAAACCAAATATTTCCCGCCCTTAAAACTTTTAAAGGAGGAAAAAAATGATGTAACTTTTATCAAAAGTCACTCCCAGACTTTAATTTTGATATTATGAAATGTTACGATAATAAATGCAAGTGTTAGACACTAGGTGGCAAGCTTGGGTAGAATCGGACATATTACAATAGAGGATCAAAATTTTTATAAATGAAAGTACATAAGAGCAGCATCGTAAAAGTCGTTAGATGCTAGTAGTTCGGTCGACCAAGGACTAGCGACTAGTGGGTTAAGACGAATATCAATCTCGGATTAGAACACTCTGTTGTTAAAAGCCTATTTTTTGAAGATTGATTGTGATCGATAACATTAAAAATAAAAATAGATAAATAACCATGATTAATGATTACATGAAGCAAGTAATTTAAGAGCCAAACTCATATTATATGCATCTCTTAAAACAAAGTAGTGAAAATAATAGAAGTATAACATATTGAGTGTTAATATGACTGATGAGAGAGAGGTATGTAAGTTTTTTTTTTTGGTAAGACTTTTAAGTTAGGCTTATAATAGATAAATTAATGATATATTTTTTTTTTTTTACAATTTAACCACTTTTATTGATTTTCACTTTGGTTGACCGGTTTTCATTAACTCTTTATTAAGTTTATGGAAGCCGAATTTCAAAAATCCTACTCATTCACTGACTGCTTAGCGCCTACGCTTAGTGAAGATATAATTCCTCAAAAGAAAACGAATTTTGAGAGAAAAAATGATGAGCTTGATTTGACCTCCAATGGAGTTTTTGAGTTTGAATCATGAATGAGATTAAAAAATTATACCAATGGTTAATAAATGTTGTGTTTAAACTTTGTTTTTAACACATTAAATTTATTATAGGTCCAAAAGTAATTACAAAAGCGTTACAATGAAAACGGATAAAATTATTGTAACGCTTGCAGATCTGGGCAATTTAGAGGCAATAGGGGTCGAAAATAAATAATTTTAACCAAGTTGTATAATATATCACAAGGTTTCCGTACATATAAAGAACACCGAAATCCGAGTTATAACGAAGAAGTTATGGCCCGTCAAAGTTTCGCGACGGAACCGGCACGGCACCGGGAAGCGTAAATAGTGAATTTACGATGGAGGACTTTTTAGCCTTAGTGATCTAAATGAATTTCGTAGAATATGTTAAACTAAGAGCGTCGATAAAAAAAACGCCCAAATCTGACTTTGTATGAGGAAGTTATGATTTTTCTAAGATTCGGCTTAGCAGTGTACAACCCGAAACTCGAATTTTAGTTCGAGCGGTTTTTGGCTTACGCGGCCTAAATGAGAGTTAAATATCTCATTAATAGGAACTCAACGGTAAAAAGACAGACGAAAACGGAATCCGTATGAAGGAATTATGAATTCTTCGCGGTCATTTACCAGTCTAAACGCCTCCTACTGCTAAATTTGAGATCGGTCGAGAATTAGCCGATGGAGTCTAAACAAAAGTTGTAGATCTTGATTTTACCTACGCGTTGAAAAAAAGAACGTCAAAAACGGAGTTCTTATGCGAAAGTTATGATTTTTCTAAGTTTGAAGGCTGATACGCGATAGGGAGTGACGTGGCACCACCAGAAGGTTGCCACATGCACCAACTCGGCGAGTAGGTCCTCCTACTCGGCGAGTAGGCCAGTCAGCACCCCTATAAATAGAGGTGTCGGGTTCCATTCATTCTCACACCTTCAAACCCTTCTTTCTCTCTCAAAACTCTTTCTCTAAGCCTCCCTAACCCCCCAAAGCCTAGGGTAACTCCCTAGCACAAGGCGGAAGCCCCAAAGTGCCCAACGGCTCTGAGAAAAGAGCCTTTCGGCTCGGGAAACGCTGCTCCAGCGAAGCCCGGTTTTGCGAAAAAACCCGTTGTTAGTGAGCTACGCCTACGCTAGTTTTAATACAGCTTCTAATTAATTATAGTAACATTATTAGGACCTTAAAATAATTGTTTGGGCTATTATTATGAGTTATATTGAGTGTTATTTAACGCTTATATAATAATAATAATAGCTAGACTATTAATTAGTCGCGGTTATCGTTAGACTAAACCCTAGTGGTATTTGTACTAGGTTTTATCGAAGGAAATTGTTTTGAGAGTATCGAAGCGCTGTCCGAGTGCTAAGTCATCACCTTTCAGGTGAGTGCATAGTTACTTTCAGCTTACACATAGATATGAAGTATTTTATATAAATTACGTGTTGTGTGTGAATATTATCTGTATACTTGCTATCTATGATGGATGAACGTTTTATACATGTTTTGAAGGATTTAAATTGTATATGTATTTTTTATCTACAAAATGTGTTGGTTAAAACATGGGTAGATGAAATAGTTTATGTGTGACAAAAATAAAATGAGGAAGAGGTAATATAGACCATGAGGTAAGGGTGAGAGGTGAAGCATGAGAGAAGCCTTTTTCCCAATTGATGGCCCCGTCATCCAGCAGAGTATGGATGACAACCACTGACTATTCTAGACAGTCCAGTAGACACTAGCAGGCTCGCAACCTGTATGTGTTTTGAACTGTGTATTCACCAGGTGTACTCTAAAAACCCATCGACAAGTATTGCGAGTAGAGTTTCGGAAACGATACCGTCGATAAACGAGATGAAACCCATTGACCTGTATTGCGAGATGAGTCTTAGAAACGATACTGTCAATAAACGAGATAAACCTTGGGAACTATGGATTTAGTTCCCGTTGAGTAAACCTTGGCAACGATGGATTTCGTGCATATTCCTTAGGATAACCCTTAGGAATAAATGAACAAGAAATAGCTGATTCTTAGGGTA